GCAAACCGATGCTTCCTCCGTCGCAATTGCGGCTGTGTTGTCTCAAGAGGTAGATGGTGTTAGGCAGCCTATTGCGTATGCCTCACGCACTTTGAACCCATGCGAAAAGAAAAGCTCTTCTGTGTATGAGTTAGAGTGTTTGGCTGTCGTGTTTGGAGTGAATAAGTTCAGACATTTTTTGGAACACAAAGAGTTTTTGCTGGAAACCGACAACCAAGCGCTCTCGTGGCTCCTTGCACATCCTCGCCAGCTTGGGAAAATTGGTCGTTGGGTGGTCCAAATATCTTCCCTCAAATTCCAAGTGCAACATGTTCGAGGCACGCAGAATGTGATTGCTGACACTTTATCCAGGATGTACCATTCACCTGACGACCAACCTTCTGATCAGGAGGAGCACACAGGGTGTGCCGTGCTCCTGGAGTTTCCCCTCGCCTTTTCTGAGTTCATCCCACATCAGCTAAAAGATCCCGAGCTGGCTAAGATCATTGGTGAGCTTCAAAATGGGGGAGCCCACCCCCCGTATTTTCTGTCCCAGGGTGCCCTTTGTTGTCGAGACCGACAGCGAGGTAAACCCAAGGTTGTGCTGCCTAGTCTTCTTGTACCCATGGTCTTTGCGTACTTTCACTCTTCCCCTGTGGGTGGGCACTTAGGGATTCACAAGACCATTGCGAAGGTTAGGGACATGTTCATCTGGAAGGGTATGGACAGGGACATTGCGGCACGAGTGCGTTCTTGTCAAACATGCTCGCTAAGCAAGCCTGCTCAGAATACCAAGTATGGGTTGTTGTCATCTGAGGTGGCGGAGAGACCTTTGGAGAAGGTTTTCATAGACTATGTAGGGCCTCTCCCACGTAGCAAGTCAGGAAACAAATTCTTGCTTGTTTGTGTGGATGCCTTCTCCAAGTTTTGTTGGCTTTTTCCTTTGAGGAACGCCACTGCACAGCTCACCGTGCAGGCACTTCGTACCCATTTGTTCCAACACTTTGGAATACCCGCCACCATTGTTTCCGACAACGGAACTCAGTTCGTGTCTCACCTTTTCAAAAGAATGTGCTTTGGGCACGGTATCCGCCATGTGACCACTTCTCCTTACTATCCACAGCCTTCCCATGCTGAGAGGTTTAACAGAAATCTTCGATCCGCTCTCATAGCTTTTCATGCTGACAAGCAGACCACCTGGGATCAGGAACTTCCTTGGATCCAATTTGCTTTCAATACTGCACACCATGAGAGTCACAAGGCGGTCCCTTTCGAGCTGTTGTTGGGCTATCCACCCAACAATCCCTTGGCAAATGTGTGGAAAATTGGCGACCTTCTGCCACCCCCTGGTGCAGCCAATGTCAAGGCAACTTGGCAGGCGGCTAGGAGGAACTTGATCCGAGCTAGGGAATTGGTACGGAGGAAGCACAATCGAGGTCGGTTGGACAATCCTTTCCAGGTGGGGGATTTGGTTTTCTGTAAGGCTCATCCGGTCAGTTCGGCCGTGGACAAGAGAGCCGCTAAGTTGTCTCATCGGTGGTCAGGTCCCCACCGCATCTTGAAGTTCTTGACTCCTGTCTCCGTGCGGCTTGGAAATCCGCAGACTGGAGAAGTTTTCCGGAGGGCTCACATTTCTCATCTGAAGCCTTTCCGGGGAACAATTCCGTAGGTCATCTTTCTTTACTCTTGTGTCTGAGTGGGAAGTGCACTGGGCCAGAGAGCTTGATCACCTCTTCTGTCCCTTGTGCGCTGCTGAAGATTTTTCCCTAGTAAATTTTCCAGCACTGGCCAGTGCAACCCCTGGGGGTGAGTAGTCCCTCCAGTTGAAAGACTTTTGGCGTTCCCCACTTCAGACACTTGAGTTGATCTGTGGTGTTGAGATCTTCTAGAATTGGGAGAGGTTGTTTTCTTTTTTTTTTGGAGAGGAAGTCCTCCTTTGGGGGGGGAGGTTGAGCCGTGACATGCCCACCAAGCGTCCCACCAATGTCACGCCTCAGTGCTTTTGTATAGTGCGAGTACTGGCTTTGCGCCGGAACTCAGTCGGTTTGGGTCGGGCAGCAAACCTGCAACCCAGAGTGAATGTCCGGGACTTGTGAACCAGAAGACGTGCGGCTGTCATAGGTTACTGTCAAGATTTGTGTTTAAGGTTATGTCAAGTTATCTTTAACGATCCTTTCAGTTTTTCTACTGTGTTGCTTACAAACCTAATCTTCAGTAACATGTAGTTTAGTGTGCCGAGAACGTCAGATGAGGTCCCGGATGGGAGGTTTAGTTCTGCGGATGTCGTCCTCGGAGAGGGTCGCCTGGGGGAACTCTCCACCTTCCTCCTCCTTGGGCTGCCAACGGCCCTGTTTCTCCGGGGACCTTCAAGCAACCTTCCGCCCTTCTTCTAACACCACCGCCTACCACCAGGAAGGACTATGAGTGTGCCAAAGCCGCAAGTGTTATTTGTTAAATATTACCTGAACCTTTATGAACATTTTCATGAGCTTTAAGAGAAATACCGCTATTTGAAGGGGCCCCAAAAGCTATTATTCGTTATTTATTTTATAGTAGCCTAATTGTTATTTATTTAATTGTTGAATTTTTAAAAGTTTAAAACAAAATTTACAGTTTTTACCATCTTTTAATTTATTTATTGTTAGGCCTAATTTATTTGTTACTGGTACCAGTTCTTGTAAGTTTAGAAGGGTAAACCTAAAATCATCTTTTAAATTAAATTTTTGAGAAAGATTATTTAAAGAAATTCTTTGGATGGATGTTTTGTTATTTGTTGATTTTTTTGTAAATATATAGGCTTTGTTGACAACTGTTTGTTTATTGATATTCACCCACGGCCTTTCATTTTTGTTAGGGATGTGGGGCGGCCACTCGCACTGTCACTATGGGGGGCATGCTTCCAATAGTTGTTCGTCTGGGGGCGGTGCGAGGGGTCGGCTCAGTGACTAGGCCGCTGAATTTTTATTTCAGGATCAGTGTTGCCTACAGTATTATTTTGAGGCTTCTGATTGGCTGAGGGAACATCATTACAGCGACGATTCGATTGATGCCAACGGCCTCGGTGGTGTAGTGGATAGAGTGCTGGGCTGATGATCCGAAGGACCCGGGTACGAATCCCACCCGTAGCACTATTTTTTGTACCTACTGGATTTTTTCATTATCAACAAGTTTAGTTGGTTTGGTTAGGTTATGACGGTTTAATTTTATAATTAAAACATTATGAAATTGAATTTGACCCATTTATAGTTTTATTTTATGAACAGAAATATTTTTTTCTGTTAAGCCTTCATTTGATTTTTCATTATTAGCAAGTCTGGTTAGTTTGGTTAGGTTATGATAGTTTAATTTTAGAATAAAAAATAGGATTTAAGGCATTTATAATTTTATTTTATGAACAAAACTATTTTTTCGATTAATAAACCTTCATTAGATTTTTTCATTGTCAGCACGTTTGGTTGGTTTGGTTAGGTTATGACGGTTTAATTTCATAATAAAAAATATAAAATTGAATTTGAGGCATTTATAATTTTATTCTATGAACAAAAATAATTTTTCAATTACTAAACCTTCGTTATAGTCAATCAGAAGCCTCTAAATGACACTGTTGGCAAAATTAATCCTGAAAAACAAATTGTGAGACGAGGCCTACGTGTTACTGTAATTGGGTTATTAGAAATTATAGATAAAACATAGTCTCTTAGCTATTAACCTACAAAATCAGAGCTATATTGTTCGGTAGTTTAGGTGTGGTTGAAAGAACTGGGCGCTGGGAGGCATAACGCGATAATTCCTCGGACGATTCGGTAACGAGGATATTCCCCGCGAGCCGGGTAGATGCAGGGAGACGTCCGCTCAATTACCCACCCGAACCAGTTTTGTCCCCCTCACGCACTGTCCGCCTCAACCACGTCCGGGGGGAACATGGCACCTTTCAATGTATTTCTTATGGAAAACATGTTTTTTTATTTTTCACCATAAATCATAACAAACACAAACATTCATAATTATTTGCAAATCTACACGAATTAAGCTTTCCAACGACCAATTAATTAATAAAATCGGTCCAGTAGAACTCTAGATTTAGTTTTACAAAGATTTTTTAAACTGAATTATATATAGAATAGATACTGAAGTGCTGTTTCTGTTGTATGCCTAACGGCATGGACTAACCAAGGGAGTATGTTTTATCTATGCTAACGGTCATGGAGAAAATTCAAAAATAGTGTAATTAAAAATTCCTATGTTATTCATATGGAGAACATGAAAACCGTTGTAGTTTACTTGTTTATGGATATATATTGATAAAATTGGGCAAATTTATTTATTTCATTCTATACTATTTACCTTAGTCTGCAGGTCTACTGCGGCGGGGGTATTTTAAGGGAGTGGAGTGAGCGACGAGCGTTGTTCTGCCCGCTGGTTTGGTATTTTCCTTCCACCACCACGAAACGGCACACGGAAGATTTCTCAGGTGCCGTTTGACGTCACTACTGCTGACGTCACTTTGAGGGAACACCATTACCCCTACCCCAACGATACGGCATAGAGCCATCGGCCTCGGTGGTGCAGTGGATAGCGTTGCGGGCTGATAATCCGAACGTCCCGGGTTCAAATCCTGCCGGCGGCACTAACTTTTTACCAACATTTTTTTTCATATCAGCAAGTTTGGTTGGTTTGGTTTGGTTATGACAGTTTAATTTTATAATTAAAAAATTATAAAATTGAATTTTAGGCAATTATAATTTTATTTTATGAACAAAACTATTTTTTAGATTAGTAAACCTTTATTCGATTTTTCCATTATCAGCTCGTTTGGTTAGTTTGGTTAGGTTATGACAGTTTAATTTAATAATAGAAAATTATAAAATTGTCTGTTTCTTCAGACGCAGCATTTAGTGACGTCAGCAGTTAGTGACGTCAAACGGCACCTGAGAAATCTTCCGTGTGCCCCACCGCCACCACCTTGGTTTCTGTTTCTACCTGCACTGCACTCTTTCTTTACGTTCCAGTCTGAACCTGAATTCAACAATAACAATCTGAATCGGCGCTGCGGTTTTGAATCGAATGTCGGAAAGTGATGTGATGTGATAGCTTGATTGCTCCTTTATTAGTTTATAGTTTATTTTGAAACGAAATAGACAGGCATCATGAAATACGAACTGAAGATATAAAATAGAAATTGTGCCTCAAAGTGCCTAGACGGAAACATAACTTACCGACCTAAATAACTTAAGTAATATTATATAATTTATTTCTATGCTGCTGAATTAATTTATTTTGTTTGTGAAAAGGGATGTATAAGTTTAGGTCTAAACAGGTTTAAGTTAATGATCGTGAGCTCGTGAGTAACTTATAGTAATTTTAAGTATTATAGGCCTAGGGCTAGGCCTATGCTATAAAATTTGCTTTCAGCCAGCTGTTTGTTAATAACAGCCACAACTTAAGTTAGGTTAGCTATAAACCTTTGATAACTAATATAAACAATTTAAGTTAGCCTACCTTAATTAACTTAATCATCACCTAAGTTAACGGTATTCACCAATAAGCTAGGCCTGCTTAACTTATACAATAGGCCTAGGGCTCAAGGTTAGGGCTGCACTTTACTTGACGTCCTACACTCATTCGATTGTATTTTTCGATTCGATATTTTCATTCGATTGTTTCATTCGATATATCGTTTGGTTAGTTAGGTTAGGTTAACCTTACCTAACTAACCAAACGATATATCGAAAGAAGCAATCGATTAATCGATATATTGATCGATATTTTCATTCGAATGAGTGTAGGACGGCAAGTAAAGTGCAGCCAAGGTTAGGAAATAGCCTGCCAAATATTCACTACTGGATAAAATAAAATGCTTCTAAAACGAAAAATCTATTTTCAGAAGTGTGATACCTAGGTAGGCCTAAATGTCAAAAATTTAAGTTAAGGTAGGCCTAGGCCTAGCTTATCTAGGCTATAGTAGTGATGCACGATATTGCGAGATGTTTGAACAATCAAAATGTTCCTTCTCCAGATGTTCCTCTTATCGATTGTTTCGATTCCTTAACAAGAGGATTGTACAATCGAGAATCGAGATGTTTCTCTCAATTGTTGCATTCGTTAAGCCTAAACGCCTGTCTGTATCTGTCTACATTTTAAGGGAGTTGTTACAAGGTTGTTATTTCTTTTTCTAGATTAGGGCCTATTTCATATCTAGAATAGTATCAAATCAAATCAAAATATCCTTTATCCAAAATACCTATCCTTATTCATTTAAGTACAATTGTACAGTGAATAGAGTCAGATCATACAAAATAAAATGTTTTAACTTGGTAGCCTACATTGAACTAAAAATACGGTAGCCTATACTATTATGTAAGTTACAGCCATCGACTACTGTATTGTCAAAGGTACTTACTACATACCGTTCATGCTGACATGAATAAACATTTACGTCACTCTGGCATGTCAACAGAAATAGAAAATTATTTTAAAGTAACTTAATGGTAAATAATACTGTTAACATAACATTTACAAGAACGGTTAGTCTCGTTATAACATTTTGATTTAAGTTACTTGAATACAAACATTTTGTTAGTAAAATATATTGTCTCGTCAATTAATAGTCGAATAGGCTTTTAATGAGTGGTATTAGTCACTATTCCGTAGTTAACACTAAACTTAAGTTAGCCTACAAACCTTCCTCTATTTTGAATTAAAGGCTAAGTAAGTTAGACCTCTTATTGGGGTCAATCCCTGGCAGATGCAATAAAAATTGAATGATAATATTTGCCGATGCCGTACTTAACAAAACAATATGCCGTACTTAACAAAACAATCGCCATGAACATCTCGTTAAAAAACCTCTCGGTAAGAACCTCTCGCTAAGCAAAAATACAATACGTTTCGATTGTAACATCTCGCAATCGCGCATCACTAGCCTATAAGGAAGGTTTTTTTTTTTTTTTTTTTAAATTCTTTATTGATTACAAATTGTTTTGCAGCAATTAATAAAAAAAAAAAAAAATATCACATGGGTCACAATGACCTGTGCGTGATAGAGTCCTTAGCTGTCTGCTGTTAAAATAAAAGTTCTTCACACTTCACTTAATTCCAATAAAAAAAAGAACTAACAATAACTTGGTAAAATAAAATAATACTATACAATTATAGTTATAATAACCTAAAAAACCATATGCAACGTGCAATCAATAACAAGGGGTGCTCATTGTTTGCAATACATCTGATGAAAGCATAACTTTTTTCTTTCAAACCAAATATTTTTTTACTGAGGCGTGGATTCCGTCAAGTAAGAGTGCTGTAGAAGGTACAATAGATAGTCCAGTTATCAGTTGGTTAGGTCTAAACGAGATATTCTGGGCTGATAAGCGACTCTGTATTGTCAAGGCCTATCTCCATCAGCCAATTAGCGATAACCCTCTTATAGACACTCAGTGACACTCGCAGGTCCCTAATTTCTGGAGGAATATTACGCAACAAGCAATTAGCAATGTAAAAGGAATTTGTTAAATTGATTGATTTGAGAACTCTTGGGACCCGTAATCCTATCATCACTGAGTTGACCTGGTATGATAGTTATGAACTACTGGCGAGGCGATAAGGTCTAAATGAATGTATGAATAAGCTAATAAATCCTTAAATAGCTGCCTTATTGATAAAAACTGGGATTCTTTGAACAGATGATCAGTAGAATAACGTCTCGGTTTTCTTAACGCAGCTCTAATTACCGGTATTGATTTTTGAATTACAAACAAAGGTTGAATTACTGATGAATAAGTCCCTCCCCAAGCTATTAAACCATACTGCAGATGAGATTGAACGTAGGCGTAATAAATTCTTTTAATTTCTTCATGTCGTAAAATTTATACCTAATTGGTAAAAAACATAAATCATTTTTCTAAGTTTTGTTTTTAAAAAATTTATATGACTTTCCCATTTCAATTTAGAATCCATTATAATTCCCAGGTATTTATAATGCGACACAGTTTCAATAATTTGGCAGTTGCAATCGCTGCCTGCGGTGCCACATGAGTGCAAGGTTAGTCTGAGTTCGGCGGGCGGCTCGCTAGCGGGACGAAGTGCGATAGGCAAACATTTTGTTTTACTGACATTCATTGTTAAAATGTTTTCTGAGAACCATCTTTTTAAAATTTGTAATTCTGATGAATGCAATATTAAAAACCTCTTCCCAAGTACGCAAAGGTACACAAAGTATGCCTAAACGGAAAACATTATAACATGTAACTTAAGTTATTGGGGCCTAACTTAGGTAGGCCTATGCAGACCTATAAATAATTCATTAATGATAGCCAATACTAGGCCTAGTCTCAAAAGAATGAAATCCACCCAGATTCATAAATGTAGTAGGCCTATAACTTAGGCCTAAGTTAAACTTACTTGCCTGCAATTAACTTGCCGGCCACTTTACCATTTACCATCAATGTCTTCTCCGCTGTTCTCATAGACAGGGGAATCGTCAATTTCTTGTGAATGTGTATAAGTTATGTGTGTGAGAGTGTACTTGAGCATTGCTTCCCTATTTATTGTTTAGGCTAGGTTATAGTTAAGTTAAAACATTATTTATTTCCATTCACTGTCAGTCTATCCTCAAGATCTAAACTTTAAGGATAAAGTGGTTAAATTTGTCTATCTCCTGATGTCAACCCAATTCTATGAACACTATGTTAGTTAACTTAAACTTAACCTAAGTTAGGCGTAATGGTATTGGTGTGGACCAACTTAGGGCCTAGATTACATCAACAGAGGCAATTGTCAATTAACTTACTGCCCCTACACTTATTTTTGTTTTTTGCACGCACAGATTTGCCATCAAGCATTGGCATAGCCTATATTTATCTCTAATCCCACTCGGCTTATCCGTCAAAAAGTTTGCTCCCCATGTATTTCTTATTGGACTAAAATTTGGTTTCTTTTTGCTGAGTTTGTTTGGCTCCTCTACCCGACCGATTTTCATGATTGAGGTCTCAAATTGAAGGTATACACGCACAGATTTGCCATCAAGCATCGGCATATTTCTATCTATAATCCCACTCTGCGTAAACGTAGCCTAAACGAAATCACTCCCCATGTATTTCTTATGGAAGTTAAAATAGGTTTCTATTTTCCGAGTTAGTTTGGCTCTTCTACCCAACTGATTTTCATGATTTAGGTCTCAAATTGAAGGTATGCACGCACAGATTTGCCATCAAGCATCGGCATATTTGTACCTATAATCCCACTCTGCGTATACCGTATACGTAAACGAAATCGCTCCCCATGTATTTCTTATGGAATTTAAAATTGGTTTCTCTTTTCCAAGTTAGTTTGGCTCTTCTACTCAACTGATTTTCATGATTTAGGTCTCAAATTGAAGGTATGCACGCACAGATTTGCCATCAAGCATCGGCATATTTGTACCTATAATTCCACTCTGCGTATACGCAAACGAAATCGCTCCCCATGTATTTCTTACTAGCTGTACCCGCGGGCTTCGCCCCGTTTAACTTCATAAGTATTCGCATGGCTCATTCACGTCCTGGTTGAAGTTCGTTTGCTACGCTCACTCACCTTTAGGTTGGAGCTCGTTCGCTGCGCTCACTTGCCTTCAGGTTAGCTCGTTCGCTACGCTAACTCGCCTCCAGGTTGAAGTTCGTTCGCTACGCTCACTCACCTTTAGGTTGGAGCTCGTTCGCTGCGCTCACTTGCCTTCAGGTTAGCTCGTTCGCTACGCTAACTCTCCTCCAGGTTGAAGTTCGTTCGCTACGCTCACTCACCTTTTGGTTGGAAATTAGCTGTTGTCATAAATTAAAAAAAAAATAATAGTGCTGCACCCTGTTGGTAATCCTTGTAACTTTTATGCTATTGGACATCATAGAACAGAACCAACTTGTTTAATTGAAACAGCTGTTAAGATTCATTAATTCCTTTTAAATATGAAAAATCATAAGATTAACATGGGGAACTACAGAGCCACTGGGGCGGAGCCCGAAAGGGTTTTTGAGATAAGAATATGCTTTAATGTTAATCGGGAATGTGAGCTATCATCATGCCAAATTTCAGCCCAATCCGTCCAATAGTTAATGCGTGATTGAGCAACAAACATACCTACACACAAACTCACAAACTTTCAGATTTATATAGTAAGATAAGATGGAAGTTAAAATTGTTTCTCTTTTCCGAGTTCGTTTGGCTCTTCTACCTGACCGATTTTCATGATTTAGGTTTTAAATTCAAGGCATGCACGCACAGATTTTACATCAAGCACCGGCATATATTTTTATAGTCCCAGTCGGCTTATACGTAAATGAAATTTACTCCCCATGCATTTCTTATTGGAGTTAAATTTGAGTTTTCTTTTCCGAGTTCATTTGGCTCTTCTACCTGACTTTCATGACTGAGGTCTCAAATTGAAGTCATGCACGCAAATATTTCACATTGACATATAGCTTCTTACCTACTGTATTGCTCGACAAAAAAAAAACATAATTTGATTAGTTTTTGAATTCTTACATAAATTTAAGATGTATTTCACCAGTTATAATTATATAATCCTATATATTTTGGTCTAAGAACTTTCAGTGAAATATTGGCTTTTATTTAAGCGATTACAACACTAACACTGTTACTCAATCAAAAATCATAAATTTGATTATTTCTCGGATATTATATTATTTTAGCGCTGCGGAGCAGCATGGGTCCTCTAGTAATTATTAAAATTTGTTAAAATCATATGTGTTTAATACAGGCATGCACTGTGGTTACGATACTCTTTTGTGTGGATTAACGTCCGCACTAGTGAGTACTACGACTATCCACAGTACTATCCTGAAAATTAGACCAATTTGTATATACCAAGGCAAAAATGTGGTTCGGATTCCCCTATAAACTGTAGGTCCCTTAGTTGCCATTTTTTAAATTTTTTTTATTCTAGGACGCTAGGCACGAGCCTGGGATTGTTTTTCACATTACTTCAGGCTAGACCTAGGGGTTGCGGCATTATCACTTTAAAACCCATTGGTGACTTGGTGGGGATCGAACCCGGGACTGAAGTCCCGCGCTCTAACCACTACGCCAGCTCGCTCCACCTTAGTTGCCATTAGCTGTATGGGCTATTAATTAACAGCTGATCCTAAGGTATATGTCGGCCTTAGTCACTAACAAGACTACAAGATCGCACCACTCATCCTACACTTATCTCCATTCATACTTGGCTTAAATACCTACTTTGTATGGCCTCGCCATTTGATTGAAAAGTATAAAGTATTTAAACATGTCACCCTTGCTAGAACTGTAGTTTAATACGCCATAAACCTATTTTGTCTCTTAAAAGTCTAAAGATGAATTTTACTGCCTGACTTTAGCTTTTCCTGTCTCATATAGAACTCAAGAAGATATTATTCCAGAATTGAATATTTTCTAACCTATACACTTGTTTTAGGACTGCTAATTGGATATACATAAGATGAGTTCATTGACGGAATTAACGAATGTTATCTGTGAATCCATTCAGAGAAAGTCGTTGGATACATTGAATACATATTTTATATCGTACGATAATTGGGAAAAACTCTTAAATACAGATCTAATATTAATTTTAAAAGAAGTGTTGAAAAAAAATAGAAAGGTAAGTTTAATGCTAAGTACAGTAGTATTATAGTTTAATGTTAAAATGTTTAGCTCTAGTTGAAAATAAAAATTCACCTAAAAAGTATAAAAATAACATTAGAAAATTTGCTGCTACTGGGAAGGGAAAAGGTTTTCTGATCAACTGTTAAACAGTACAGTGCCAAATACGATCAAAATCTATATAAATAAAATTACAGTTTTGTCTGTACATTGCTTAGAATCATGCAGTTTTTGGTTATTTTTACGTTTCATACCCTAAGAAAGCCGAAACGAGTCTTATTTCAATTTCTGTCTGTATGTCTGTTTGTTTGTTTGTCCATTCTGTGACTCCGTCTGTAACACCAAAATGTCATTTTACGCGGCCTACTCCTAGAAAACTAGAGTACCGATCAAGGTTCTAATCATTTTTCTGTATTTACTGTATTGGTGAGAGTGTCTTTGGCTATAAAAACATGGCCTCGCTTCTTCGAAAACAAAATAACGAACCACCAAAAACCCAATTTTGTTTGATTTTTGTCAAATTTTCTCCCAATGTTTACTATTACATTACATTTTATGAAATAACGATCAGCTGTTTGGATTAGTTCTCACTTCTAGCTGTGACCGATATGTTTACATTAAAAGTTGTTTACAAATACCGCAACCATTTCCGATCAAGTTTTGTCAGCACATCCAAACCAAGTGAGATTAAAAACGTTGTGCCTTACTTAGACGGTTTAATTAATCGCAAGTGCAACGATTGTTCTTGAGTTTTGATAACCGGGGAAAATACCGTGAATCAGTGTTGTATTAGTGCAAGGAAACTTACATTTTTTTTATCATCGTCACCAATACCGTAGCTTACAAAGGTTTCCACTCATTGACGGCGCTTCAAGGACAGTTGTGTTAAGTGCAAAGTAAAAAATCACAACTGCAGTGGGTGATCGTGGATGTTGCTGCGATCTTGGAAGATCTTTCTGATTTCGCTGTGATCGTACCGTAACAGAGGTTTAACTTAACAGATGTAGCTAGACTCGCTTTTCCAATGTGTCACTTTTGGTTTCTACTTACTTACATTTCGACAACAATATCGGTACTTTTCCTACTTAGGAAATAAAACTACAAACGTACAAAACAACAGATTTGTGCGTTTTTAGTCACATTTCCTCCGAATGTTTGCTAGATATATGTACCGATTATCGTTTAGAGATTACGTAATCATAAGAAACCTTTGTTTGGATAAAGGTGGTTTCTTCAAACTGTCATTAATATGTTAACATCAAAAGCTGCTTACAAATAATGCTATTAATAGGAAATAACTTTGATTTTCGAAAACTTAAAAAAAATTTAAAATTTAAGGAGATTAATAACTTCGGTACTGCACCACATCAAGTGAAAGTTTTTTTTTTTAGCAAACCATAGTGAGTTTTTGTTTTGTGGCCTGTGTATTTATTTATTTATATATTTGCCAACTGATTAACACCTATAATACAGTTTGATTAGAAGGACAGTTTGAATTAGTCGTAAGTACTACAGTTCTTTTCTCAAATGTAAACGTTGGTTTTTGGTACCGGTACTGCTACTTTTCCTTAGAACCGGTGGTAGCAGTAAGAATAATTTTTACATACAAACACATCACTATTTTCACTATTTATTTATAAACACTGCACCTTATTGCTTATTAAATTTAATTGATGTCTTACTGTATAATTTTTAGCGTTTTCTGTCTGGACTCCAAAATGTTGTGTGGACTCAATTCTGTATTTGTGTGTGTATGTCTATTGGTGATTCATTAATGTCCTTATTTTTCGTGGAGAAGACAAGAGCACCATTTGGTGTAGCATCCATTTGGACCCAATTTACCTCTCTTAATTGAAATCAAAATCCTTCCTATTTAATTTATTGTTTTTAAAGGTTTTTTAAATTTATAACTTAACGTACTTATTGAAAATTTAAATTAGGCATAAACGAAATCTTTTGATTCAGCCAGCACGAATCCCCACCCCTGAACAATTTAACTTTTGCAACCTTTTGGGGCTTAAAATTGGGGTTTAAATAAATAGCAAACATATTAAATATTGGTACATACCTTAGTGTAACCGCTAGTTTCGTCTCGGCATTCAATGGTTGTTTGTCTCGATTAGTAGCGTTGGTGGGTTTTTTTTTTTTTTTTTGGTAAGTCATCTTTGATGAGATCAACCAAAAAGAAAAATCGGTCTTTTGACACATGGAAGTACTTAGTTTCGTTGTAAACTAAATGATTACGAACCAGAATGTTATACGCCCCTTCACTGTCCCGATTCTTAAATATGTCACTTCGGTCACTGCGACTTGGCACTGACAAAGATAAAAGATCGACAACATCATCATCAATGTCATCATATAGCATCAAAGCCAAAAGGGCTTTCCTCTCTTTCTATTCATACTCGTCGCTAGTTTGGACAGAACTGAATCTCCGCAACGTTATTTTCGCAGTCTGTAGAACCACCCCTCTGATTTTTACGCACCGCATGGCGGAGATTCCGCATCCTGTGGAACCATAGCTTAATCCCCTATTAAAGTCAATAATTCTGGGTCATTCATCTACCAAAGTTGCTTGAAACCAGCGAACACATAACAAAATAGAAGCACTACTCGGAGCGCAGGAGCGTGGCAGTCTGACTAGCCGACGAAACGGACAAAGATGGCGGCGCTAGCCTAGTCCCGGCGTTTGCAACGCGCTGGTCGTCTGCTATGCTTCGAGTCAGGGTTGTTTACATAGGCTTTATTTAAATGTAAAAATACTTTTGCATAAAAACTACTTAGGTTTTTCTGGAGTATTAGTATATTGTTGGAAATATCTTAAAGTAAATCAATTGTTTTACTTTATTATTGCCGACATAAAATTTATCTAATGAAAACCTTTACCCTTAAGTTCCTATAATGAATTATTCCTAACTGATTAGACAAGCACAAACTCGTTTAATCAGAGTTTACTTGGATATTTCCAAAGTAATGGTTTAAGAATCGATAAGGTTGATGTTAGCCTCCGGATTACCAATAAACACAAACATAATTACTCTATTTTATTGATAAATTAAAATAACAATAATCAGCATGTACTCTGGACGGATAAAAAAAAGAGTAAACTATAATAGAAATTAAAACTGGTCTTAATTTAAGTAGTGTTACACGTTACGAAGTAAATTATTTATAAATAAATAATTGAATAATTTATGAAGAAAATGATAATAATTCTTTTGAGTCTAGAATCAAATAAGAGATTTATAAATCTTAAGTTATTGTCATTCTTTCTGTACTATAGCTTGAAATACATTAGAGGTAAGTAACCTGCCTGCTCTACTGGTCTCACTTAAACGCGGCTTTAGGCTGTGTATTGATCACTCAGGGGTTGATTTTTAAAATATCGATTACACAGTAAAAATTTGTGAAACCAAACCAAACCATGAAACCAAACCATGAATTCATTACTGGTAACGGTGAACGTACTACCTGTTGTAAATTGTAATCGTAGGCATATGGTACAAACTATTCGACCTATTGTTTGGTCCAAAACATAAAAAGTCAATACTGGAAATTGTAAATGAATTATGAGTGAACATTGTACAGGGATGTTCCGTTAATCCTTATGTTACTCCGAATGGATTTCATTTGCAATTTCTTAGATTTCCCTTTTACGACAGCCCATTCCAGTTTTTGGGGTGTCGGGTCACTCGGGTTAGTTCACCCGAGTTATGACCTTCAATTTCAACTTAAATATTGTTTTGATTTTACGTGGCAATCGCAAAAGAGAAATTCTTTAACACACACAAAAGTAGGATACTACTAATGACTATTTTCCGGTAATTACTAAGTGGTTGTAATTTATTTCACTTAGTTAGTCGTCAGTTTAGGCTTATTGAAATATTTTTATCCAAGACAATCGTAATACTAAACGTGTTGTTTAGTTTTAACAAATTAAAAAATATTAAATGAATGAATTTATTTCCTATATTTCAGAACACTGTATACAATTATAATTGTTGAAATATTAAAACTGGTCTTTATTCAAGTAGTGTTTCCAGCTGTAAAATAAATTATTTATAATAAAAAATAAACTGACAATTCCAGAATCAAATAACAAATATTGTATCTGCCCGCTGTAAAATATGGGGCAAATTCAGTTTGAGCAAACACATAAACAAAAAATAGGTACTTGTACTTAAGGTAACGCCGTTATACTGGAGAGTTGGTGCGATGGCGATAACCTACATCCTGATGAGAACTAGTCAAGTGATTGTTCTTTTACAAAAATAGTACACATTTCTCAGGATATGAAATAGACAACAATCATTTTTGTTTAGTAATTAAAATGATTGCTCAAATATATTACAATGTTAGAGTTCGCTACTACTATAAAATAAGTAACGAAAGTCTTCACAAAAATAAAGTCAGGCAACATCTCAATAAAACTGTAATTTTTCTGGGACAATAAATTGAGTGTAATTTTACAAACATTTGGGAAGTTTTATTTAACTTACATAATTATCTTTAGTTTATCTTGGATGATATTGAAAGCAAATTAGTCCTTAAAAAGCTGTGCTAAACGGTTGTAAATTCTTCATAGACAATAGGCTATATTTGAAAATGTCTTTAATATATACAATATTACAGTACAACAGTACAAATAAAACATTAAAACACTGAACGCTGAATTTATAGACGACGGCCCGGCGGGGCAGCGGGCGTGGCGCGGAGCAGCGGCAACGGCCCTCTTGTACCTGATATTTTTAGAAAACCACGCACGATAAAAATTTTTGGCGAATCGGATAGTTAAATTTGGTTATTTATCCACAACTTTCCCGCTGACGAAATTACTCTGACAAAAAAATAAAAAATTTCCTCGCTATACAACTTTATCATGTCTGAATGTGAAAAATTAAACTACATAAGTAAAACAAATATTTATAAATCAATTACTACCATAACTAATAATTTTATATTAACACCATCGTTATCATCAGTATCAGATCTACAAGT